GTCTTGGGGCTCTTCTTGAGCCACTACCTCTGTGTTATGTTCACTTTGATCACTTGCTTTTTTTATTCTTCGAGGATTTTTATCTTTAGAATCGATTGGTCTACCATGTTTCAAGCATGGCTTAGACTCATTTGCTTTAATTAATTGTTCTGTCGGGATATCAACTCGAATTGGAGCATTAGCAGCTGGAATATGTGACTTAGTCACCCTTGGTAGGTTAGTAAATGCATCTGGCAATTGATTTGCAATATTTTGTAAATGAATAATCTTTTGAACCTCTTGTTCACATTGATTTGTTCGAGGATCTAAATGAGACAGTGATAATGCATTCCAATCTTTCGTCTTTTTCAGCTACTTATTTTCTCCCCCTAATGTTGGATATACTGATTCATTAAAATGGCAATCAGAAAATCTTGCCGTAAATAAATCTTCAGTCATCGGCTCTAGATATTTTATAATAGAAGGAGATGCATATCCAACATATATCCCCAACCTTCTTTGAGGACCCATCTTTGTGCGTTGTGGTGGAGCAATTGGAACATATATTGCACAACCAAAGATCCTAAGATGGAAATATTTGACTCATAACCAAAAGCCAATTGCAATGGGGAGACTTTATGATAACTTGTGGGCCTTATCCGCACAAGTGTTGCTGCGTGCAAAATAGCATGACCCCATACTGAAATGGGAAGTTTTGTTCTCATAAGCATTGGTTTAGAAATTAATTGGAGGCGTTTGATCAATGATTTTGCTAGACCATTTTATGTATGAACATGAGCAACCGGATGCTCAATTGTTATCCCAGTTGAAATACAATAATCGTTAAAGGCTTGGGATGTAAACTCACTGGCATTATCAAGACGAATTGTCTTAATTGCATAATCTGGAAATTGTGCTTTTAGTTTTATTATTTGAGCCAACAATCTTGCAAATGCCATATTGCGAGTTGATAGTAAGCACACATGTGACCATCTTGTAGATGCATCTACCAAAACCATATAATATTTAAATGGTCCACATGGAGGGTGAATGGGCCCACATATATCACCATGTATACGTTCCAGAAATGCAGGGGATTCCATCCTAACTTTAATAGTTGACGGTCTAATAATTAATTTTCCTTGAGAACACACAGCACAAGAAAATTCCTTAAATTAAAGAATCTTATGATTCTTCATTGCATGTCCATGTGAATTCTCAATTATTTTACGCATCATATTAGAACCAGGATGGCCCAACCGGTCATGCCAAATAATAAAATTATCTTGATTAGTAAACTTCTCGTTTACTACGGCATGTGTTTCAATCCTGCTAATACTTGTGTAGTATAAGCCGGAGGAAAGAGCAGGTAACATTTCAAGCACATATTTCTTACCGGACATTATTGTAGTAATATAAAGATATTCAATCTTTTCATCATTTGTAGTCTCAATATGATAGCCATTTTGGCGAATATCTTTGAAACTTAATAAGTTTCTTTGAGATTTACTACAATATAGTGCTTCATCAATAGCCAAATTTGTTCCTCCTGGTAGTAATAAATTGGCTCTTCCAGAACCTTCAATTAATCTTGTACTACCGGATATTGTATTAACATTCGCTTCTTTCATTACCAAATAAGAGAAATATCTCTTATCTTTTAAAATAGTGTGTGTTGTAGCACTATCCAGAAGACATATATCATCTTTATTAATCTTGAGTCCAACTGAAGACTGAGGAATTTTCATATTCTTCATAAAAAGACAAATAATACATCATAAGAAATATGAAAGACAAGCAGGAAAAAAACATTAAGAAATAAATTAGAAATGTAGAAACTAGACACATGATGCATTACGAAAATACACTCAAGAAAAATAAACTAGTTGCAAACATAAACATAACAATTTTTGTAGCTTCATTCCTCAGTAAGATGATTAGTTCTTTAGTCAATATCCTCAAAGAAGTCCCAAACTTCTAAATGAGTAATATTTGTTAGGCCTTCAAAATCATCATCTTTATATGCAAGATGTGCCTTAGAATCATATTTATTTGAGGGACCTGCTTCATCATCATTATTTTGAAAGGTCAAGTGTGCCTCCACATTATTTTCTTTTTTCTTGAGGGAGGCTTGATAAAGTTTGACAAAATATTCTGGCGTACGACAAATGCGTACCCAATGACCTCTTATACCACATCGGTGACATATGTGCCCAATGACCTCTCATACCTCTCATACGACAAATGCGTGCCCATAAAGTTTACCTTTTGAATGATTAATTTGAGTACCCTTATTGTTCTCCAATTTATTTCCACCATAATGACGATAATTGTTTCTCTCCCTGCCACGTCCACGTTTACGATCATGTCCACGACCACGGTAATTATTTTATTTTCTTTCAAACTTATCATATGTTGCTACAGCATTCACTTCCGGAAATGGAGCTGACTCAGTGGTACGGGCTTCATGATTTTTCATTAATAGAGTAGTATTCTGCTCAGCCACAAGTAGGCATGTGATTAACTCAGAATATTTCTTAAAACCTTTTTCACGGTATTGTTGTTGTAGCACCACATTTGAAGCGTGAAAAGTAGAAAATGTTTTTTCCAATAAGTCCTCATCTTTGATAGTGTCTTCACGTAATTTTAATAGAGAACTTACTTTAAAGATAGCAGAATTATACTCACTTACAGTTTTAAAGTCTTGCAACCTTAAATGTATCCACTCATACCGAGCTTTCGGTAATACCGTAAGTTTTAGGTGGTCATATCGATCCTTCAAATTAATCCATAATTCAAGTGGATCTTTTACGGTTAAATATTCAGTTTTTAACCCTTCATGTAGATGATGACGAAGGAAAATCATGGCCTTCGCTTTATCCTGATTTGATGCTTCATTTCCTTGTATAATAGTATTTCCAAGACCTTTAGCGTCAAGGTGAATTTCAGCATCAAGAACCCATGATAAATAGTTCCTCCCGGTGATGTCAAGTGCCACAAATTCAAGTTTTGATAAATTTGACATAGTGAAAACTATCATAAAAGATGAATAAGTTAGAGAAATAATTATAATAATAAACAATTAATGAAAACAAAACGATTAAGGTAAAAAAAATGAAAATAGAGCTATATCATGTTAACAATCTACTATTTCATTTTATTCTTGCCATAAAGTAGAAATTACATACTTGTTTCATTTCACTTTATATTATTGATATATATGTGTTAATAGAACTGAACGTGACTAACATTATTTATATGTTCCAATAAATATAAAGTAATTAAACTATAAAATTATTGCTTGTCAATTTATTTCTCACAGTTCTTCAAAATGCCTTAAAGATATGTTTTGATCTAGGGAGTACATGAATATTATAAGTATGACATTAGTGCATAGCTAGTTTGATGACTTTGAGGTCCTCTAAGAGTTAAGCACAGAAGGAAATAGTTATTTTATCACCGCAATGTACTTAAACTATTTAAGATGCTCAAGCGCACAAGTAATCTGCAAACAATGAGCATATGATATGTACTGCCATAAATAAAATGATTATAATGATACATACCTTAATAAAATATGGCTCAACTTAGCGGGAGTTAAGAATAAAATTAGAGCTTCGTGCTGATAACGTGTTATAAAATAAAAGCAATGCAGTAAAATGTAAACAAGAAGAGAGAGAGAATGGAGAAGTGTTTTCTTCTTTCACTTTTGGTGTAATTTTTCATTGCAATTACATGGCCTTTTATAGGCATAAAAAGTAAAGATGATGGACATAAAATAGAAAATTTAATCTTTAAGTTATTCACAACATGGGCATCCAATGTAGTATCCAATGTAGTATCCAAAGTAGTATCCAATGTACAAACTATTCATAAAAAATCCACATTAATATTTCAGCATCATGGGAACCCTCGCAACGAGTAAAGTCCATTCACAAATTTATAAAGTCAAGTGGGAGAAATTTCCTTGCTCTCATATAATTAATTTTGGTATGTCAAAAGCATCTGTATAAAATAAAAATACAAATTTTGCCAGCTAAAAACTCGGATTTTAAGTCTGTACTTTCATGTGCCTATAGTCAAAGTCAAGCTGTTGAATAAATCTTTTTTTTTCTTAAACTTTTGAATAAATCCAGATAAGTAGATTTACACTATAAGAAATTCTATAAATATGGATCATTTGAAAGGATATAGTCATGAGCAAATTCATCTTCTTTCCTCTCATAGCATGATAGCTCATTCTTTCTCATTCTCGTTATAGAAAGTCCATTCTAATCTCTTAAATTTGCATGATACCTCTTATTCTTCTTTTTTCATCCAAAGAAATGCGTAGCCTTCAAATTCTCTCTCTTTTACTCTTTTCATTATTTTTGGCAAAATGTTACTCCCAAGAAGATTTTCTCCACTGTCTTTCCAAATACTCTAAAAACAATACCAAAAATATTTACACCCCAAACTCTCCAACTTATTCATCTATCCTTGAATTTGCTCAAAAGAACCCCAGATGGTTGAATTCTTCACACCCCCTCTTCATTGTCTCCCCTAGGAAAGAATCAGAAATCAAGCCTGTTATTCTTTGTGGTAAAAAACTAGGGTTGCAAATCAAAATAAAAAGTGGTGGCCACGACTATGAAGGAATCTCCTTTAGGTCTAAAACCCCATTTGTCATGCTTGATTTAAGCAATCTTGATGATATCAAGATTGATTTAAAAGAAGAGACAGTTTGGGTACAAGCAGGAGCAACCCTTGGCCAACTTTACTATGCAATTGCCAAAAAAAGTAAAGTGCATGGTTTTGCAGGAGGTGTTTGTTTCAGTATTGGCACTGGAGGGATTATTAGTGGTGGAGGGATTGGTACTATGATGAGAAAATTTGGCTTAGCAGCAGATAATGTTATCGACGCTCGTGTAATGGATATCAATGGAAAAATCCTTGATAGAAAGAAAATGAAAGAAGATTTGTTTTGGGCAATAAGAGGAGGTGGAGGAGCAAGTTTTGGTGTCATTCTTGCATGGAAACTCAAACTTGTTCGTGTTCCAGAAAAGGTTACTAGTTTCACAGTTTACAAGAGGCTAGAGGGCAACCAAAATCTCCTCCAAAAATGGGAAAAAATCGGACATCAATTACCTGATGATTTGCTCGTCAGAGTAGTTATACAAAATGATGGAGCAGGGAATGAGAAGTATGTTGAAATCTTTTTTCAAGCACTATATCTTGGACCAGTTGATGAATTAATTCCATTGCTCAAAGAGAAGTTCCCTGAATTTGATTTGCAGAAAAAAGATTGTTTTCAAGAGCCTGTTGTGGACTGTAGTAACAGACCTTGCATTAAAAAAGAATGTCGTGAATCTTCATGGATTGGATCAGTCTTGTATTTCTATGGTAGGAGAACAAATGAGTCACTAGAAGTTTTGCTAGAAAAGAGTATTCCAACACAGAAGAATTATTTTAAAGCTACATCTGATTTTGTGAAGACTCCAGTTCCAGAAAAAGGTTGGAAAATGGTAGAAAAACTGTTCTTGGAAGAAGAAAGACCTCAGATGATAATGGAGCCATTTGGTGGAAAATTAGATGAAATTTCAGAATCTGAAATTCCATTCCCACATAGAAAGGGCAATTTGTATAATATTCAGTATTTGGTGAATTGGGGTGATAATAGTGAGAGTGTATCAAGTCAGAAGATAGCATGGATGAGGAAACTTTATAAGGAAATGGAACCATATGTTGCAAAATCTCCAAGAACTGCTTATCTGAATTATAGGGATCTAAATTTTGGAACTAATCAAGAAGACTACAGCTATTCTAAGGCCAAAATCTGGGGTGAAAAGTATTTCAATGGTAATTTTGAGAGGTTGGCTAAAGTGAAGAGTAAGGTGGATCCCAGTAATTTTTTCAGAAATGAACAAAGTATTCCACCTTATCATATTTGATAGCTGAAGAAGGTTGGATTACATGCAAGGGCAAAAAAAAAGTCCAAGTTGTTTGAATTTATCAATAAATGTATCACTATGTCCACTTTATCACCTCTTAATCTACAATAAAATAAAACTTGGATGTTTATTGCATCCAAAAACGTTATAGAATCACCTTTTATTCTGAGAGTTACCCTTATTATGTTACTTTATAGTATATATTTATGAAGGGAACTCCAACCTGCGTGCTTGTTGGATTTTAAAATCTAACATTGTCAATTGGTTAACAATTTTTAATCCTGGGTTTGGCTCTCCTTTCCCTCATTTAGGTTTCCAGCACTTTTTTCGACTTTTTTATTACCAACTATTAGAACTTTATGGGCGAACAACTTCTCCCCAGTCCCCGGCTCCCGCCCTCTTTTTATTTTTGGATCCTTACCCAAATAGCCAGTTGGATTTACGGTTTACTTTTTCTAATCTATATATACATTAATTATATACGATTGTACATATATATAATAAATTATACATATAGTATACACCTATCAGTAATTTTGAGTTTAAACTGTTGTATGATCGGCTAGTTAGGTTAATTCTTCTTTTATTTATTTTGGGCTCTTTACATAACTAAGCAATATTAAAAAACATAATACATCTTGGTAGCAGCAAACTTAATATATCAATAGTAACAGCAAAAATATTTCCTCTATAGTATATTCTAACCAAAACCGAAACCCCAACAATATGCCTAAAATTTCGCACCTTTGTAACATAAGGATTTGTTCCTTATTTAACTCCTAAACTTCCTTAATCCCCCAACACTACCGATTTCATCTCTTTTTGCTTTTTGGATAATATATATATTATTTAACATGTATTTTGACTAATTTTATATTATTTGATTTTTGATTCTTTCATGTGTGTATATTTTTAATCTTAATGATATGTAAAAAGTATATTAATTGACATTGTAAATATTTTTAAAATATATAAAATACATATAGTGTATATTTAGAGTGATTAAGTATTATACTGCAAATATTCTACAAATATACTAGTATATGCATAGGTTTTTTCTTGAAGATTTTCACATTTATGGTATATTTCTAGCATAGAATATTCATATTTTATACATACCATGAACATCCCATAAGAAAAATTTCCAGCTAATCACATTATTAATATTATTATACAAAATATAAACAAAAAAATGTATTCATATTTTAGTTGAAAATATATAAGGTATATTTGTCGTATAATCATTATGAACAATTTAAATTTAATATATATATATACTTGTATAAATATAAGTAAAAAATATTTAAATTTATTTTTTTATATGTAAGAATGGACATAGAACGTAGTAACAAATAAAGGGGAGGCGTCGTTACAAAAGAGTGTACAAAAAAAGGTTTTATTATAATGATGAGAGAGAAATGATATCAATATTAATAGAATAAAACTAATATGAGGATCAGTTTATTTTTAAAATATGCTAGAATTGTAAAAGAAATTTCCATTTATAGAATAAATAAAGAATAATATTATTAATGAAAATAATACTAAATAAAGGATTAGGCATGTAAAAATCTCATTTATGTTTCTATAGTGAAATCGATGTGATCAGAATCAGTTCTTATTGTATTTAAAAGTGTGGACCAGATCAACCCAACCCGCTAGTTGGATAAAGTTACACTTGGATGTTTTCAGTGATTCAGTCCATTTAAAATTGAAGTTTTTCTGCCAAGACCTAATCCGCCCACTGGCCTCATGAAGTTGTGGCCCGTGAGACCTAACATTTTAAAAGAAGAATTAACACAAATAGCCGCTCATCCAACTGCTTAAACTAAAAAAATAGTCAGTTAAGGCATAATATATGAATAATTTATGTATTATCTATGTATAATTGTATATGATCAATGTACAATCTATGTATATGACTAGAACAAATAAACTGTAAATATAACCGGCTATTTATGTAAAGATTTCACATTAAAAATCTTCATGGAAAGTTCAGTTAACGACAGACACAGACGCAAAAAAAAAAAAAAAAAAAAAAAAAAAAAAAAAAAAAAGTAAAAAACAGAAACCTATACTAAAGTAAAGGAACACAAAAGAAATTGATTGTTTTTCCTTTGGAATAACCCGAGTTTCTGTTTGTGATTAGTGAAGATTAAGTAAAAAGTAGATGTACACTAATCTCTCCCGAGCTTATTCATTCACTTTTTGTTTTAGAGGTTCAAAGACTAAATCAAACTTATAAACATGACATTTTGAAGTAAAGAGCTGAATAATAAAACTGTGTGCTACATAAAGTTGGAATGGACCATGTGATACTTGTGGGCCTTGTAGTTTGTTTGGTTTGACAAATAGCCTTCAGTCTACACTATTTCAGAGAAGTGTGCAAAGCACCAGGCCTAAAGTTGAGAGTACATGGCAACTGGCCAAGTTGATTCATGGGCCAATAAATGGTGGCTGCCACATCGAATACAGATATCTACACGAACACCTTCGAGAGCCAAACCAAGTGGCAGACGAAGCTGACCACAAAGGTTTTCAGTTTACAAGTCTTTCAGATAAGAGTTTGATTCTCACTAGCTATTTCTTTTCTCTTTCCTTTTTCCTTTCCATGTGTAATAGAATAACAAGAATTTAAAAATTGGCGATGATGGAGATGGAGATGGAGATGGTTTACACCAAATTAAAAATTTATATGACATATATCTTTTAGATACATTTTATTATTTACTCATAATTAATTAATATATATTTTCACCTCAATTTATTAATTAATTATGCATCATAACGTAATATAATTTGATGTAAATATCGAGAGTAATTTTTTTTTTTTTTGAAATGACATCCCACCAAAAGACATCATTCCAAATCAAAACAAAAATATTCGCATCGAGAAATCATCTAATATTTGGTGTATTATGTAGAGAATGAAAGAAACATTTGAAATTAGGTTGGGACATTAAAAAACCATATATGTAGACAAAATTAGGAACATGATTATCCATGGACCTAACCTTACACTTGAGCATGGAGGCTACGCATTATTATTATTTCTTTGGGTGATATAAAGTTTGTTCTAGAAAAGCATGGGCCTCAGCATTCCCCAGCCACAACTATAGATGCGTGGGTCATGTTTTCTATATGTTATCCTTATTTTAGATTTAGCCGAATTTTCCTCTGTAGCTTGCTCCTTCATGTCTCTCCTTTTATTGGATAAGAATATTGTTGGTTGCTATCTTCTTATTTACTGTATTTGTAAATAATAATTCTGAAGAAAAAAACGTTAGAGTATAAATGTAAATAAATATGAAACAATAATTAATTCGAGCTCACTGAATTCACAGTGTTTCATTAAGGAATTTAATTCCCTCCTAGTATCCAAGGTTATGGATTATTTCCTCCCAGGATAGAACGAATTACACAATGGTATAGCGGTACTTCAAACCCCAGTGTTTCAGAGAACACAAAGTTTGGCAGCAAATCACACTTACGATTGCTTTGTTTGTAGTTTAAAACAATGCACAACAAAGGAGGAGAACTCAGAAGTCGAATAGAAATTCTGAGAGGAAGGTATGCAATTTATAGTCGATGTTGAGTTCTTACTGAAGAGGATATCAACGACAGTCAAGCTCTCAAATTTGTTTCTGCATGTGCCTTCTTCTAACAGCTCTTATTCTGTTTTTCTATTTTTGTGTTGTGTGTCCTTGCTCTAACAGCTACTGCACATATTTATAGTGCAGTCAACTATTAACAGAATGACCAGCCAACACTCATGGTGGAGCAATCACTAGGTTGTTACGGAGGAAGCACTTGACATGGTGGAAGGAGCATTTGCTTATGGAGCACTAGGCTGCCAATGGACAATGAAGCATGCACTTAGCCGAACTGGTGGGACACTTGGATTCTATCCACGGATTGGAAAACATCCGTTACAAACACGGATAATATTACGTTAATATTCGCTATTAACAAATAAATTTGGTCCAAAAAATTAATCAATCAATCGATCATTTGACCAAATCCGAACCCGAACCCGAAACCGTAGCCGTAGTTGAAGCCGAGCCAAGCGAGCGACGACGACGACGGCGCGAGGCTTGCCTTCTTCTTAACTCTTTAAGAGCTACAAGAAGAGCAATTGTATATATACCCACCAAAATCATTTTCCTTTTCCACTATGGGACAATGTTTCAAGAGAGGGAAACTTAAAATTTTACTCAAAATTTCATTTTCCCTCCATTTCTCATTCACCCTCTTTTTAAGACTTTTCCATCTTAATATCCTCAACAATCCCCCACATGAATGGGGAATGACTATATCACGGAAGTATGCATGAAAAACTTGTGTGATTTGCAAGCAAGGATTAATTGCATCTGGATAAGTAGGTTTCCTTTTGAACTTTCCGTAGTGAACTTATGTCGGAAATACTCGGTCAACCGGTAGATTTGATATCTTTGAACCGTTGAACTTTAGTGTATACCTAGACAATCATAAGTCACACAATCAACTCTTAACCGTCTTTGGTTCTCATTGTTGTGTTCGTTTCAGCCATGAACACCGCCTGATTTCATAAGTGCGTAGATAATTGGCCTTGCAAACTTCTCCTTGAAGCGGCTAACACTTCACACTTACATAGGTGATTCCTAAACGTGTCATCCCGTAGATACACTATTTGATATACTCCGTATCAAATTTAAAAATCATTAAAAAGCCTTAATGTTTTATCCTTGGTACTGAACATTGTCTCATTACGAGAATGGACCAAAATTTTTGTTGACAATGTTGAACCGTCATTAATGACTTTGTTTGATCTCCTTGAACCTAGATCTTGGGATCTCCAGTCTTCTAGGTAGAGTTACCGCCACAATGACTTGTTCTCGGCCATAGCCCCATTCCCCTCGATGATTTCTCAACTACCTCTATAGTTAGGCATTTTGTAAGTGGATCCGACACATTATCACTTGACTTTACATAGTCAATCATGATAATTCCTCTAGAGAGTAGTTGCCTAACGGTTTTATGTCTTCGTCGTATATGACGAGATTTACTGTTATACATAATGCTCCCAGACCTTCCAATTGCCTCTTGGTTATCGCAATATATGCATATTGGTGCCAACGGTTTAGGCCAAAATGGAATATCTTCCAAGAAATTCCGGAGTCATTC